CAAACAAACAAACAAACAAACAAACAAAAACAAAACAAAAAAAACACACACACCTTGAAAACCAAAAAGAGATAACCTTGAAAATCAAATGGTCTTCAGAAATTCTACTCTTCAAAATATCCGGAAAGGTTACTATTCAAGGTGGGAGTCGCTAGCAGCAGTGCTGAAAGTTCTATTTTCTGTGGAGCTTTCTTAAAACATCTTTTACGGTATTTGTATTATGAAATGTTAACGTCCTATATTGTAACATTAATTTTTCTGTGCCGTTGGGATTTCATGGTACTTTGTATATTCTCTGTTCTTTATATCATACATAATTTGATTTTTGTTTCCATTTAAAAGACTTTGGGTATTAAATGTAATAATGCTTCTGTTTGAAGAGCAGCTAGAATGGTGTTTCCCCGACAGGAGAAGGGAGGAATATTGCACCTTTGGTTTCCGAACGAACACTTGCTTTTTGGCTATTGGAAAAATTAAAGAGGAACCCAAGGGAAGCCCAGCTGTAGCACCAGAAACTTCTGAAAAGGAAAGGAGCAAGCCTGAAACGACATGCATCCTAAACCAGAGGATGTGTATTTCATTAAGTAATTAATTTGATTATTATCCAAATCAAACCACCTAAACAGGAACAAGGGTTTGAGAGCAGCAATGTGAAAGTCAAAGGGTTTGTGTGAGCCGTAGCTGCCTGTTAGGGCATTTCATAGAGATTCTTACAAAGTATTGTTCTCAGTAGCAGTTTCCATCAACTAGGAAAGCCAGCTAGGCTTTTTAAACTGAGTTTTTAATAGTTCTACAGATAATAATAGGTGTGATTTATCAGTGTCCTGAAAATCCCATTTGTATGTATTATCTAGTGTTGTGATGGCTTGTCGTAAATGAAGGCATATGATAGAATTAATTCAAATATATTAGTTAGAGTTGCTTCTGATACCGTGTTATGTTAGCAATGTGGTGCTACTTCAGGAAAGTGCTAGCAGGTTTGTCTCTGTTCTACCATCACAAAATGCCAATCATGAAAATATTGATTCCTTTTTGTTGCATAAGTCCCTTGTTACCCAAACATGATATTAGTTCTTCATAAAAATATTTACCATTGAACTTTGTTACACATCTAATGGCAGGCGTATACAACCCTTCCCAAAGTTTGTTCCCTACAGTCACTTATATATCGGGGGTGTGGATCATGTACAATTTAGCACTCATGACAACTCTTGTCATGTAGTAGAGTGTCCAAGGTAAAGGATCAAGATGAGGATGGTTTTGCCCTTTAATTCTGTTCAGTTGGAAAAATAGGAGTTTCTCCTTTAGCTGTTTTTCAAGCTTGCTCTTAAATAAAGGCTTGAGCTACGGTGTGTTGCAGGCAGTAACATTGCCTCGATAATACTGGTTTAATGTAGGAGTTGTCATGTACAATCTTCTGCAGCTGGTTTGCTCATTCTGTGAGTGTTGTGTGCCTTTTCTACTCGTGTTTATCCTTAGAAAAGCCCCACAGGTTTTAAGCAGATAGTATTTCTTATGTATGCATTTGTATTTTTCCGAAGTCTGATTAGGAAAGGACTCGCTTGAATTATTTGCAGTCTTGTATTAAAAGTAAACTCAGTTTTAAGGGGAGAGCGCTACAGTCTGTGGCATAATTGAATCTATTTCATGAAAATAAAAATCTTCCCTCCCCATGTGCAGGTTTCACCATTAATGACTCTTGTCTTGTCAGTTCCTGCAATGGCAATATTCCCCAGTTTCATTATCAGATGCGTAAGTTCAAGACATGTGAAATTTGGTCTAAACGTGTATTTTATTGGGCCTTATTTCTAGAGTTTTTGACAACTTGCTCACTCGTTAACTTCACGTTGTCACGTCTAAAATCCAGTTTTCTTGTGAATATAAATTATTTAGGAATTGAAAGGCTGGGTTTAGAGGGAATTTGCATTTAAATTTCTTTTTCAGATTGTATATAGGCATGCTTAATAAATTTGTATTTATAGAATTAATTTCCATGTGTCAGAAAACAAGCTGTACTTTTTAATGAAACAAATGCTGTATAAGGTTCTTGTTAAGTTATGCGAAGATTAAAAAATAAGTCAAGCAAAATGTAGTAATACTGCCAAAGAAAAAGGAATTTATCCATTTTCGTTAAATTGATGTGTTTTAAATGCCTTTTTTTGTTTGTTTTTACAAGCAGAAATGACTGAGCCAAATCAAAATAGTATGCAGAGTTGAGTGGACTAATGCAAATGATAAAATCATATAGATGATATAATTCATTTTCTTCTTGCTTATATTGTTTATGCGAGTACTAACTGGTACCTACTCAGTGGTGCCAGTGATTATATGCAGCAGTTTATGTCCCGATTGCTTAAAAGATCATAATTCTGGTTGATTTCAAGAGAAATTTCCAGTTAAAGTACTTTAAATACCAGCTCAGCAGCCGTGTTGAGCCTGTGCTCAGATGCATTCCTGACTCAGCAGATCGCTAAAGTATGTGCTTAAGTAAAAAAAAATTTTAAAAGACCTTTCTCAGGACTAATAAATTAGCTGGCTAAAGCGAGCTCTAGTTAAGACTCGTAGATTCATAATGCATAAATAAAGCTTGTCATCCTGCCCGTCCCCCTTTTAAGGCCTTAAGGCTTTTAACTTAAGCACATCCTGTGACTCTTCTGAAATTGGAATGAATTTGGCCGTGCCATTA